AATGCCAGAGAGTCAAAATATACATCTTTTTCTCTTTTTATGTCAAAACTCATTTTTAAAATAAAAAAATATTTTAGCAGCAAATTGTTATTCGTATTGGAAAATATTAAATTGCACTGAACTCAGTGTATTTTTAATACCAATTTTTTAATTAAAAAAACAAATTTCTTGGAAATATGTTATGAAAAATTGAGAATTTAATTGGGTCCATTTTCGAATACCTGTAAAATGAATGCAGTAGAAATCGAGTTTCAGTTTCGAAAAAATATTAGTTGACAATTATTATTGGTCAAATGTTAATTGTGAAGAAAGAATCATCATCAAATAAATAATTTTACTTTTACATGGAAGCTTAGAACTGGATTTACATTGAAGGCGACAATTCGCATTTCAACGCTGGAATACGCCCTCTAACGGGGAGGATATTTTCAGGCTTTCATTAATTTAGCTTTCATTTAGTTCTATCAGAATCACTGGCAGAGTAAGACGTCTTTTTTAGCAGCAAATGAGAAGCAGAAAAGAAAAGGCAGAGGAACTTAAGAAAACGACCCAGAACATTGGTATATCTTTCTGAAACAGAACACGCCCGCCATTTGAAGAAGAACAATTTCTCAATAATTTTTACTTTTCTATTATCAACAAACTTACAACCGATAATTTTCGATTTCGTGATGACATTCAGTTACAGATGTGTGTATTACGGTAAAATAATTTTTCGTCTTGAATTAATAACAAATTAAAGTGAAGTCAAACAATGTTTACTTCATTCCAATGAATAAATGTGATTTTAGAACATGTAGAACTGTAATAGTTATAGAATAGTATATATTTCTGAATCTATAAAATTCGGAAAACAACAATAAAAAGTCATCCGAATTACTTGAAATAATATCATTTACGCTGATTATTAATAAATTTTTTATCTTTTTCTCAGTAAGTATTTTTTAGTTTTAAATGAATAATTTTACTAGAATTTAGCTATTCTGTTTTTAAGTTACAAATTGAAATTCATATCGAGATTTTACAATTATAAAATTCTGTTGTGTGGTTTGTCATCTTAAAGTAATGAAGGGATAATCTATGCATATATTATTTGAGAATAAAATTTTCAAATGAAGAACATTTCATTTGGAATTCTCCTTTCTCCTTTTCTCTCGATTTCTACTGGAATTCTCCAGATTTATAAAGCAGGTAAGTGTTATGATTTTGATAATAAAAAATTTAATTGTAAATATTTTCTTTTCTAATTTGATTATAGTTCGTCGCTGAATGGTTTTCTACGTCTGATAATGAACTTTAAAACTAAAAAAAAAATAAGAAAGTTTATTTCAATATGAGGAAGTTTTAGAATCATTTTCTTTTATCGCAAGCATTCTTTCTTTTACGTTTTTAAGTTTATAAATAATGATTGAAATTTTTTATTTTTGCAAAATTAAATGGTATAACATTATGTGTTTCTATATAGTTTTTGCATATTTTAATGCTTGAAATAATATGATTCAGAAAAGTGTGGAATGTAAAGTTTAAATAGACATTTTATATTAGATCATTAAATTTAGCAGAATGATTTCTCAGGCACTAGGTTTTAACTCTAATAAAAAGATTTTTTTACAAATATATTCCGACATGTTTTGTATGCTCCTTCTCTAAAAAGAGAGATTCCATTTTGTTTTCCCTTGCATAAGAAAGAATATCAAAAAATTTTCTTTTTTTTTTAATTTAATAAGCCACAATAAAGAATAACTACACTGAAGAAATCTCCATTGCAACTGATGATCGTGTTGTTCTGCTAGCAGTCATTCGAACGCCTCTTATAGGTCATTGCATTCGCGAATCGAGTGAATGTTTAGATTTTGAAAGTTAAAACAAATTAGTGCGCGATTTATTGGCTTCCTGTCGCAGAACTCATTCATTTATTGCATGAGTTTTGCATGAGTTTTTAAACAAAACAAACAGCAAATTCTAGTTTTTAAAATTTGTAATTTTATTTAAATTTTAAATTTTTTTTGTAGCTTCAAAGTAATTTCTTTTTTGTTATAAACCAATACTAATGATAATGTTTATGGGTGATTCTTTAGAAAGTCTGATATTCAAGGTAGGTAAAACGTGATTCTTTAAGATGCCAATCTACATTAATGAAAGAGAGTGTACATTTGTGCGTGTGTATGAGTTGACTACATGTGTCTGTATAATTCTATAACTCCTGAACTGTTCTAGGATCATGAAATTTGGGCTGTCATGAAATTTTAGCCTCCAATTCCAGAAATCGTTTAAAAGTTTTCACATTGGTGAAAAATAAATTTTTCACATTGGTTTAGCATTAGCCATTGTTTTAAATTAAACTCTAGATGATTCTGTTTTTATTGTTATTTTTTAAATATTTTAAAGATAATATCAGTAACGTTTACTGGTTTACAGTTTAGATTTTTATTTAATAAAAAAATAGAGTTTAAGAGCACGTTCTTTAATATTTAATTAATTTTTTATTCGTTATGCCTAATATATAGTCCCGCAGTGGACTGATCGTTAAGACAGGGTTCCCAGCAGATCACCGAAGTCAAGCATGACTGGCTGCGGTCAGTGAGCGGGTGGGTGACCACTTGGATCAGCCCGCGTAGGGACCGAGGGTGTGCGGTATTGGTCCTCGTTAAAGTGTTCTACCGTAAAGTACTCGACTTCGCGTGCAGGTCGTCGGGCTACCGAAGCGGGGGTGATATATGACTCTCT